TATGGTGGGTGGTTTCTCTTTTCTTACCTCTGGAGGGTATCGGGGATTGCGACTTACAATCATTCTTATATTTTTGTCGCTCGATTATGATCCATGGTGATTGAACGCTGAATTGGGGCGCTGGGGATAAAGAAGCGTGTACAAGAACATAGTGAACGAGCCGTATGGAGACGGGGTGATCTTTTATGAATGTGGTAGGGGGACATCATGCATTTGTCAGGGTGCTGGGTATGTCTTCTGCTGTCGGTGCATGTTGGGATTTGTAGTATCGCTGCGATTGCCACATAACAGATGAAGAGCCCGGCGTTGCATAAAAAGGGCTGAGAGTCTTGCCGCACCCCTCCTTTTGCTGCTTGACCAGTTGGGACACAGAAGCAGACGCATTGTTTGGTACTGTTAGACGGGGCAGTGGGATCATGGGGTTTGCATTACCTGGCTTGCTCCATAATGCCTCTGCGGCCTCTCGAAGTATTCATCGTGCCCAGCACGAAATGGTTGATTTTTGGCGTCTGTCGAAACGTTGCGTCTTCGCGGTTCTCCTGCGTCGGCAAACCTGAACCTTTTCTCTTTGGCGCGGCACGATTTCACCGACCGGTACAGGCGATACAGAGCAGTTTAATATTGATATATCTGATTTCACTGACCCGTATTGGGGGAATTCACCGGAAGATTGGCTTTCACATCCACTGGTGCCGGGAGCCAGGGCGACAGTCGAGCAAGATGTCTCCTCTTCCGTCGATGTGACCGAACATTGCCTGGGATACTGACCTGCACCGCGCTGTAAATCGGCACATGGTGGTTACTGGTGGAGGTCGTCGTGCTGCTATTGCGACACCATTTCTCAATGTGCTCTTCACTGCCCCTAAAATTTGACACTACATAGACGCGCAATAGGTGTGGCGGTTCGCTCAGTGAGCTACAGCGGTGCTTTATAGGTTCCGTGACCAATCGGATGTCGGTATGGAGTAGTTGTGGACTTGCCTGGCTCCGGTCTTTATCACAGTAGCACGTAGAGGGCAATCCACGTGTTATCCTGCCGTGATTTGTACATGTGGCACTTGTTTGGGAAGATATAGCTGACATATGGATGAGATCAGGACCAAATGTGTGTGTGTGTGTGTGTGCTTATAATTCTAGATCTGCGGGCAACAGAGGGGTCCCATTAATTCTCTGCATGCAACTGTACGGGGGGCCTTATTGGGAAATCTCATGTGATTGTCTGTATAGGTCTCGGAGTAGTACATCACAGTGCCTTAAGTTCTCTGATTAGCAGCAGAATCTTTTGTTCTCAAGCCGAATAGCCAACACTAAAGGCGGTATTCCTAATGTATGAGCAGATCTGAAAGGGGGGAACGGTGTGTGACACATAGAGGCCGCCTGATCCTCCTCCCCCACCACCACCCTTCCATTGGTACAATGGTTAGCAGAAGCCATTACCAAGGGGTGCGTGTTCTACCTACCTCTGGAGCTAGTCATCTTGAGACCTTAGAGGTATCCATTTCACAGCTTGGATTCATGTTCAACCAGTCAGATGGCTTGGTGAAGACTCTACAAAGCTTACAAAATGGCTGACAGTGACGTCACATTGTTACAATGTATCGTTGTTTTGATAGTCGGCAAGCAGCTGGTCCATTGAGGTGGATTCTGGTATACAACAGGTCAGAGAACCAGGTTACCAGATCGTTATCCAGCAACCAAAGCTGCCAATTATCCCGTGGGCAAGCTCGGCTTCTTCTTGGCCAGCTACCCGTTTCTTCAAAATCCATCGTTGTTTCCATGCTGTACTTCTCAAATCTTGCTTGCAGTATTAAATGCAGTACGCCATGAAATGCACTTCATATAATTAAGACCTCTGATGTTCACCAATGGTAACATTTAAGGGGCAAGACATCTACGTAGGCCATACAGGTCTACGGGATGGAAAACCCACTTGAAGCTGGTCAGCTGTAGCTCATGGGCTTTTGCCAATTAATTCTGAAGGATCTCAGACGCATCTGAAGCTGAGGCCATCAACACAAGACAACAGACCCTGAAGATCCTCTAGGTCAGGGGTAGCCAAACTCCGGCCCTCCAGCTGTGGTGAAACTACAAATCCCATGATACATCTCTCTTCGGGAGTCATGTCTGTGGCTGTGAGAATCTTGCGATGCCTCATGGGATTTGTAGTTCCACCACAGTTGGAGGGCCGGAGGTTTGAGACCCCTGCTCTAGGTTCTCAATAAACACAAGTGTGGCCAACCTTGTTGGGAAGCTTCAGAACATAAGCTGGCTGTAATACTACATTAGTCAGCAAGATGGCCTCCATTTTGTGCAGGAGAGATAGGGATTGAGTACACCAACATGTGTGAGCCCTTCCCTTATGTTTGCACTCACCTAAGGGCAGATTCGGTAGCATTGAAGGTCACCTCCATTGACTATCCCTTTAAAGCAGGGATGTCCAAACTGCAGCCCTCCAGCTGTGGTGGAACTACGAATCCCATGAGGCTTTGCAAGATTCTCACAGACACGACTCCCGGAGAGAGATGCATCATGGGATTTGTAGTTTTACCACAGCTGGAGGGCCGCAGTTTGGACATTCCTGCTTTCAGGGATAGTCAATGGAGGTGACCTTCAATGCTACCGAATCTGCCCTTAGGTGAGTGCAAACATAAGGAAAGGGCTCCCTAAGGGGTCACCCATGCCTCTCACATTTCTTGAACTGAATTGAAAAAAAAAATGAGTGAAAGTTGTGTGACTCTTGGGTGAAAACGTTGATAAATGAAACCCTAAGTGTTCGGTAAAACCGATGTAGAGTGCCGACTTAGTTCTCGGCAGTGGGTGGAGCACGGCACATGGGAGCACCTGCAGTCTCAAATTTCCATCCTGTAATGTCATGTCCGGCGATGAATTTTGGCTGGCTAAGCATCATGGGAAATGTAGAGTGCCGTGAGTTCGGACTTTTCTTCTAAAACAGACTTAATAAATCACGTCAAGAGAATTCCTTCCCGTACACCCCTCCCCCCACCTTCCCTTATAGTGTCTTATTAATTATCTCATAATTACATTTATCTGCCAACTCTCTGCAAATCACTTCTTCTGCCTTTTTGCGTACGTCAGCCTTGGACGGGGGGGGGCGCTCTATTTCTTGAACTTCTTTGTACATATTTTAAAGCACTTTACTTGAATTTACTCAGCCGTGTATTTTGTAAATCTCCAAACTCGAACATCTCGCGTGGCCGGAATTCGGAATCTTGCCCATCATGCTTTGCACTGCTGCAGTTTTAAACATTTTGTGTACAGGTTTATGTGTTTTTGATTTGTAGACGCGTCCTACAAGTCACTGCCGCGCTCCTCCACGAGTGACTCTCTCATTCTGGTGGAATTATTGTTTTTGGGTTCTTTTGGGTCATTCTGAGTTTTTGTTTTCCTTTTCATGTTTATTCCTATCATTCGGAACACCGACCAATATCCGCGTTGCCTTTTGTCACAACGAGACTTTCGCAGTTGATGATGATGATTAACCGGGTGCCTTCGATTTTTTTGCTTAAATTTTGCTTAAATTTTTGTAGTCCGTAAGCAATTTTCTATTCATTTTTTTTTTCTCCTCGTACACCACGTATGGCACGTAAAGGTAAAGAGAT